AGGAAGGTGTATGGCAGCTTCATGTCGGTGATTGATGTTGTTCTAGGGTAGGGGATTAATAGATTTAGTCACGCGACTTTAGCCATTCCATCAAGATTAGAGATACGATAAATTTGATGCAGCTTGCTTATTCCTATGATTTATTGCACTTTCAATTCAATTGAGTGATGGCTCTTATCTCCATTAAATTGTTGTGAGCAGTGACATGGAACAATGCACTAATCCATCTGACGTTCGCGGTTGAAGGGCCGTATGCAGCTGAGCTCAGCCAAAAACGACCGTGCTTCAATGTTAGTCGATATCATGTGCATTAGTATCTGTACACTAAAGATCTTGAGTTTATTATCATCTGAACCTAATTGACTGACAGTTCGTCCCATACTCGCGAACTGACGCTCGGTGACAACTGACAACCAGGGATTGCCATGTTCAGATACTCAGATCGCCAAGATGAAGTGTTGCCAGATTCGGACATGACACATTCCAGGGGTTGCCAGAGCGAACCAATCGCGGGTCGTGGTTATGCGATTATGCGAGATGGCGAGACTCCACACCCGCGTCCTCGGGCTGCTTACCCGAGACTTGAGCGACGCGACGATCGCTGAGGATGACGCTGAAGTTCGGAAATCTCAGCAATTACAGGCGGACATCTTCGGACCTTGAATGTGAGTACATAAACGCTGATACGTCAACGCACTCTGCCTCACCGAAACAAGCTTCAGCTGCCCTACCATTCCATCCTACTGCCCTGCACTGTACCTATACCACCTTGAACTGACACCCTGAACCATCCCTGCTTATCTCACTCACTACCATGCCATCTCCACATTTCTCCAAAGTCCTCGTCTTTGGTGCCACCGGCGAAGTTGGCTCCGCCGTCGCACTCGAGGCCCATGCTCTCGGCGCCCACGTCTCCATCGCCCTACGAGATACAACCAAGCACAACGAGTGGATCTCTCCCTCCCAGGAACACGCCGCAAACCTGCAGCGTATCAGTGCCGACCTAACCGATCCCGACTCCCTGAAGCGGGCCGTGCATGACACAGGCGCCCAGGCAGCCTTCATCTACGCCGTGCGCTCCAAGGACACGTTGCGTGGTGCCATCACGGCCCTGCGCGACGCTGGCATCCAGTACCTCGTCTTCCTGTCGACGAGTCAGGTTAGGACCGCGGGCACCACCAAGGGTGACATTCGATCCATCAAGCCTGACCACTTCATCCCGTGGCAGCATGCGCAGGTTGAGATTGCGCTGGAGGAGCTTGAGGTGCCACATGCAGCGGTCCGGGCCGGGTTCTTTGCGAGTAACCCGCTAAGAATTTACCTTGATCGATCTTCGGAGCCTAAACAAGTCAATTTGCTAGCTCCGGAAGTGCCGCATGATCCCATTGATCCCAAGGATATTGGGCGTGCGGCTGCTGCCGTCTTAGTCAACCCGCGGCTGTACGCGAGTGGCTATCAGGGAGAGCCCAAGAAGGACGTCGTTTATCTAAGCGGACCAGCCTTGCTCTCGCAGACTGAGCAGTGGGAGATTATCAACCGGGAGCTTGTCGCTGCAGGTAAGCCTGAGGTCAAGGTCAATCACATTACGGTTGAGCAATACCTTGAGAATCTGGCCAAGCTCCATGTTCCTGATGTTGTAGCCAAGTCTCTTGCCAAGTCCATGGTTGAGACGAGGGCACTGTATGCTCCTGAGGATTACGAGAAGTCGCGGGGTAATGTTGAGCTTCTGACAGGCCGCAAGGCCACAGCATTTGGTGAATTTGTCAAGAGAGAGATACCAAGATACTTTGACTAAATTTAGACTGGACGCGTTATACTTCAAGATAGAGATGCCATCTACATTTCATATAGAATAGCCTTTGCATTCAACTAAATAGACACCTCTTATTAAACATTTCTATCTTGCTTGCAGTAGCCTTTCTATGGATTGTTATTTGTGCAGGGAACCGAGAGTCTAACAGTGGTCACTGCCAGATGATCTGATCAATTGAATCTCGGTAGCCCAAGATCAAACCCCGCCAGAGATGAAGCCCCATGCTCAGCATCCACCCACGGCCATTCCGGAATCATATCCATGAAAGGACCCAAAGTCTCTGTCCCAAGTACTCTCTGTAGAGCATCTGACTGACCACTGCTATCAAGTGGCACTGTTGCCATGCCAGGCAATGATGCTTCTGACCCTGGTATAGAAGGCGGTGTCTGCTGCAACGGCCCGTACCAGTTATTAGAGTACGCTGGTGTTGGATACTGCGAGAAAAGCCCTGGTGAAGGAGAGTACAAGACAGGATCTCTTCTCTGAACTTTACGGCCAGCATTTGACGACCGACCAGGAGTCGTCTGCTGCATCTCTTTGACATAGCGAGCTTTAGCCATGAGCCTCTTTATAGGTCTCCATAAAGCAAGGCGAGTCTCATCTTGTCTGCTCTCATCGACCTTCCATCCCTCGTATACTGTCGTTACACAGTCCCATGCTTGATCACATTGTGCTGATTGAGGTCGAGCGCACAGCTCAGAGAGAACAAATGCCATGGCGCCCCATTGGATATGAGTCTTGGAGTACCATGTGAATTGTATGATCTCTTTGCTTGTGAGAAGCATGCCAGATACTTCTAGTATCTTGATTGAAGTTTGGAAGAGTTCGTCACGCACTTTGTTGTCCAGCTGGCCTGCGGTGTTGGGAGTAGGAGGGAATTGGTTGCTCGTGCTCTTACCATCAACTTCCCTTTCTCGTGACACTACTGAGTACTGGGTTATAAGCCAGAATCGCCCAAGAATAATTTGTGCAACTGCCGAGGAAAGAAGTTGAAATGGTACTGAAGTATCACAAATGGGTAGATACTTGTCCCGCAACCGACTTTCTAATTCTTGGATCAGAGTCTTGGGAGTATCTGAGGTATCATCTACCCTTGGGGTACTTCCACCGTCTGATGTTTTGTTCTGCTTGTGTCTCATGCGACCCAGCTTCAGACCTGTCTGTATAGCCTCACACCTGACCAACGTGAGCGTCATATCAGTCGCATGGTCCCATCGTTCAGCTGGAGGCTCCACCATCTCGGGTGACAAGTCAACATCATTGATGTGCAGTGGAGGTTTGGTATCTGTAATAAACCCTTGCGCAATAGGTTCATTGCAGTGATATTCCGATGAGCGGCTATCGATAATGCAGATCTGCCACCACAAACGGCGGCGCAGCTCGGTCTCAAAAGGCTTTAGTCCGAATATGGTGCCATCGCGATGCAGACCCATGGTTCTGGCAATATGAAAGACCAGCGATGTGAGTGCCCACGCAGCACGCGAGTCATCTTCATTCGGCAGAGCAGACAAGAAGAGTACTGCGGCTTGCAACATTGTCATACTCTGCGTGCTGAGGAGGTTGCCTTGAGCGAGGGCTTGTTCCACTGCAAACCGATATCTTTCCAGAGCAGCTTCACGAGTTTCGTCTAGAATATTCAGACACTGCTCTGGGTTAAGGCTGATGACCGCTGAGTAATGGATAGTGAACAACAGGGTCTCGGTATGCTTATCCACTGTGCCAAGAGATGCGATGGCATCCCAGTAGATTCTTGTCAAGGTCGGCATGTGAAATATGCGGACCAGCGGCGCGACATTCTCACTGAATGCGGCAAAAAGCGTGACTGCCTGTTGCAGTGAGGGATGGTAATGATAGAGAGGTGAAGCAATGGCGCGATAACCAAAAATAGCGGCGTTGAGTCCTAGTTGGGGTGATGATGGTGAAGTAGCTGCAGTGGTGGCAGATGAAGAGATGGAAGGTTCGTAGCCAGCATCTTCACTAGCAGGCTCAAAGAGGAGATCACGCAGCTCCTCAACCTGCAGATAGTGTCAGTCACGAGAACTAAAAGCAAAGAAGTAATGAAGGACATGCCTCGTTTGATAGAGTAACCCATAATGCATTATTCACATAGTAGCTCTTTGACTCATCGACTTTGAGACGACTAAAGTCCTGCTCGAATGAATGACCCTCACTGTCTTGCGCAGCCTGCGGGGTATCCTGGTTCTCTCTGGCTATGCAATTGTTAGATGGAATCTGCAGTGAGTGAGTGTAAGGCTGCATTTCACTTACCAGCCGCACCGAACTGTCCAATAATGCTCTCAAGGCGGGACAAACGCTCTGATAGTTGGGGCGCAAGGCTGCGTTTCGGCCTCTTAGGTGCTCTCCCTCGACCAGGCGGGTAGATGCAATTGACTTCAGATCTGATACAATTAGAACATTGGGGGAATTGGCGGTCGCATTTGACTCTGCGTTGGCGACAGTGGATGCATGTGCGCACTTGGAGGTGCGATTGCGCCAGGCCTGGCATGGAGAGATTGCCTAAAGCAGAGTCCATCTTGCTGTGACTGACAAGAGACGTCAAGAAATGATTACCCTAGAGGATGTGTACTCGTGTCTTGGCAATCTGAATTGCAGATTGAATAGACGTATGGCCATGTCGTTGGAATGTCGCAGAGGACTCAAAGGTCGGGCGAGCGAGGCAGCGGACAATTGTGCGAGAGAGTGCCCCGCAGATGATGATCAGCGCCGCCATTGGCCCGGCAGTCGCATAACTTATGCGAGATGCGCGAGCGAGCGAGACAGCGAAAAGACTCGCGAAATTGGCCATTACGGGCATCAGGAGAAAACACATGATGCTAGCGCTGAGAGAAAACATGATAAAGGCCTGTAAAGAAATCCGCAAAAGGATTCTCTCCCACGGAAAAGCACCTCAACCACTGATACAAGGAGTACTTTTGCCCTTATCTTGCCGCCCTCCAGTACATTCTAGACTTTGCATACCCCGCCAAATCACGGAGAGACAGGCTCCACTGAATGATCTGACAGCTAGCAGCAGCAGCAGCAAGATGAACGAAGAGTCCAACATGGGTGCTGTCTTCAAGGAAGAGGAAGCGCAATCGGGCGACGTGGTCGACTTTGAGGGAGACTCCGACACCCACAACCCGCAGAACTGGCCCATAGGGAAAAAGGTGTATACGACAGCCCTGTGGGCCCTGACTACCTGCTGGATCACCTTCGCCTCCGCCATCTACTCCGCCGGCACAGCAGAGATTAGTGAGGAGTTCCATGTGTCTTACGAGGTCGCCAACGCGGGCACCAGTCTGCTCATTTTTGGGTTTGCCCTTGGACCCATGCTCTGGGCGCCTCTGTGTGAGGTCTACGGCCGGAAATGGCCTGCTCTCGCTGTAAGACCCCATTGCTGCTGTGACCGTTACTTACAGCACAGTACCCGCTAACTTGTAGTTCCCTAGCCCTATTTCATTAGCGCAGCCTTCGCCTTCGGCACTGCGACCGCCAAGGATATCCAGACAATCCTAATTACAAGGTTCTTCGCCGGCGTCTTCGGCAGCTCCCCCATCTCCATCACAGGCGGTTCCATCGTCGACATCTGGACCCCACGCCAGCGGGGCACCCCCATGGTCTGCTACGGCATCACCATCGCTGCCGCACCGACCCTGGGGCCTATCATCGGCGGCGCCTTTATCGCCAGCGGCTGCGGCTGGCGCTGGACCGAGTACCTCACCGGCATCGTCATGATGGTCCAGTTCGTCCTAGACGCCTTGTGGCTGGACGAGAGCCACGCTGACGTGCTTCTCACTCGCAAGGCAAGCCGCCTCCGTCGGTCTACGGGGAATTTCAGTCTCCACGCTAAGGTACGTGAGATCCCGGGTCCATAATCTTCCCGCTTATGGTGGCCCTTCCCTTCCGTGGCTGATATCTTGGCTGAAACAAATCAAAAACATTACAGTGGGAGGAGACTAGCCCTACGTTCAAGAGTCTACTGAGTACCTACCTTGTCCGCCCGTTTCAGATGCTTCTGGATCCCATCTGCTTACTGCTCACGATCTATACCTCTTTCGTCTATGGTAAGCACTACAAATATCCCCAGCCCAAATTCAAATGTTACCTGTGCTGTGCCAGTATTGTTACCTTCCCAGACCCTGCTGACTCATGGGGACTTTTTCCAGCCATCCTTTACGCGAGCTTGGAGAGTTTCGCTCTCGAATACGGCCGGTTCCGAAGATGGGGCCCTGTCGTGAGCCAGCTTCCCTTCCTGTCGCTCTTGATTGGCTGTCTCTTTGCCGCGGCGGCCAACATCTTCAACAACATCTATTACGGAAAGAAGCTCGTCGCCAACAACTTCAAGCCTGTTCCTGAAGCGAGACTTCCACCAATGATGGTGGGCGGCTTCGCCTTCTCTGCAGGTCTTTTCCTTTTTGGCTGTAAGTCGCAATATTTCCATTCTTCGCTAGCGGAACCGCCCCGAACCTACATGACAATTGTGGAGATGACTTGCATAGACGACTGACCCGTTATTCTCTTCGTTTCAGGGACCTCGGTTGAGCACGTCTCTAGCCCATGGCCATCCATCATTGGCGTCTTCCTTACTGGGGTTGGCTTCACCACCATCTTCCAATCGTCCCTCCAGTATCTCGTCGATACTTTCACCCGCTACAGTGCTAGCGCTATTGCGGCTAACACTTTTGTCCGATCCATGGCTGCAGGTGCTTTCCCTCTCTTTGTCTGGCCCATGTATGAAAAGATCGGCATCGATTGGGGGAGCACTATCTTTGCCTGCATTAGCGTGCTTCTGCTGCCAGCTCCATTCCTCTTTTTCAAATGGGGTTATCGGATCAGGGCCCGTGGCGAATTCAGCAAGCTCTCGACCTATTAAGGCTGCTGCGGTTAGACAAGCAGCCCTGTCGTGGCTGTTTTGATCCAACATGCATATTCCAATCGCGGAACCGAGCAGATGGTGAGCTGATCTCGGGCGTTGTCCATTTCGTCATTTATGAGACACAGACATGCATGAAATGGTCATGGATACGGGTTTAACAGATGTCATCAATACTGAACGCCACTCGTTGCCGGAACGCTCCCACATTTCAGTGCCCTTTTTAGAGATAAAACAACATCACCAGATTGAGTTAGAATAGAACCCTTGTAATTTCCACTTAATAATTCACTCTACCCATCGGCAAACCTTCTCCCTAACATGATGCTACCGTACCATGACGCTGACTCGCTGCCAAACACGTGCTCCCCGATGATAACATATCGCATTACGTGTTCTAATCCTGAATACGCTTGAATACGATATACCCTGTTTATCGTACTTTCAACCGCACTGACCAACCTGCCATCTCAAGCCTAGCCGAAACCTTAAGCGTATAGTTGGTTGCATCCAGTATAAGCAAAAGCTGAAGCTGCATATACGCGGCGTGTCAGATATCGACCACGCTCAGAGAAAAACCACTCAGCAAACTGCGGCATGGATGCTGACTAGTGGCGCAGTGGTGAGAGACGCAAGGCGACGGCAACTCGGCAGTGAGAGACGACCCCCAGCTCTGTGAGCTGCCTGGGCGAGGGCGAGGTATTGTGATTATAAGACTCGCAAGCCTTAGTTGGGGCCAATGTCCCGATTCATCTGATCTGCTGCCTCGGTACAGTATCGAGTCAGCCAACCTGCACTGGCTCCCCAATCCCAATCCCAAGGCCTTGGCAAAATACCTTGATTCTCACCAAGGACACGCACACCCTTCTCTTTACTGCCCAGAACCCTGTCTATCTCCCCGAGACCTACAAACACCATGCCTCCGTATAACTTCCCCTCCGTGAGAGCTTCATGTGATCGCTGCCGATTTCACAAGCTCAAATGCATCGTCAATGCAGAAGACAAAACCGTGCAGCAAAAATGCGCTCGCTGTATAAGGGCCAAGGTTGAGTGCGTGTATAGCCAACGAGCCCGCCCGAAGCGCCAAAAGAACCTCGAGTCAGAGGGCAGCTCTGGCGAGGGAGAAATGGGGCCCCTGACTCCACCAACTGGCTCTGGCGAAGAAGCGAGCTTTGACAATCTCGACTCGTCTTATACAGGATCGCCAGATATCTGGGCCATGCTGAATACGTCGGACTTTGGAGTCCGGCTGGACGAGTCGACTTTGACATTTGGCAGCTTCGCACAGACGCCATCCGGCGTAGCATCTGCGAGCGCGAGTGGGCTGCATGTTGGTTCCATGCTCGACGTAGCACCGAACCAGGTTCTTGGTAACGGACTCGTCACGGAGCCCACTACACCCAAATTCGAACAAAACACCGTGTTAGATACATCTGCGAGAATCACGCCCTTCATGCACGATTGCACGCAGTCCCAAACCAACGGGAGCATCGACATTGATGGAGCTTCGCCAATTACTCGCCTGTCAAATCTCATGGCCGATATCTACCGGACACTGGCTATTCTCACAGGCAGTTCACATGCCAATAAATATCCTAGCTTCAACTTTTGCGAGTATCCTATTGGCACCGTCTTGCATCTTGCTCGGACTCTGGTAGAGATCATCCCTCAAGTCACAAGCTCGTTTCACACAGCCTCAGCATTTACCCAGGACATGCCTGGAGTGTCGAGACGAGACTCGATATCTTCAATTTCGCCTTTCAACAGCTACAGCTACTACGCAGACCTCCAATCCATCACACCCCCATCGTCCACAGCATCGCACAGTCTCAAAGACTCCATGGACGCACCCACAAAAATGCTCGCAATGAGCTGCTACTCCTCCCTACGCCGCCTATACTGTCTAGTCCTGACTCATTTCGAGACCTACCTGAGAATGACACTCCCCGCCTTCACCAGCGAACTTCTGTCGCAAAATGCAGCGGGGGTAAAGGCGCTGCAGCTCGGTGAACTGCCTCTTACGGACGAGGTGTGCAGCAGGATTGGTACGGCAGTCAAGTTGATGCTGGATGCTCTCCGATCCGCGGAGGATATGCTCGGCCTTTCTGATTATGCGAGCACTACGCGAAGATGCCGGAAAGCGGATCCATGCGGGTGCCCGTTCTCAGCAGGGTTGACAGAGAGGGGTCAGGATGTAACGCCGTTGGCATATGAGGAGCTCTCGGAAGTATTTAAGGACAGCGCCATGATGGGGTATGAGGGTGCGCATATGGATAATCTGGCAAGCAAAGTCGAGTCTGTGAAGACAATGTTGAAGGATAGAATAGACCTCCGCATCTAACGCTTAGATTTATATACAGGTAGATCATTTAATTCTTTTTCACTTATCGTTCAATTTGAATACGTATTTGAAATCGTTTTCGAGTCTGACTGCACAAGGCTAAGCATAAGATTGCCCAGTATAGAGGAGTCCCAGAGCGACAAAACCCTCAAATCGTATATTGGGGACGGATACTGGCCTTGGGGCTCAATGATCCGCCTGCCAATGCGGCATATCATGAAGCAAGTACTTAATATTAATAGTTTACATATTGTACTAATCGCCAACCTCTTTATTTGCTACTTGCCACCACCATTATAAGCAACACGTTGGGGACTATCAAAAGCGTAGTAAACACCACTCGTATCAGCAGCGCCGATGATGCGCTTGGTCACAGCACTAGATCCCTGAAGCCCCTCCTTCGCCATGAAATACGCCGCAAGACCAGCAACATGCGGCGCAGCCATGCTTGTACCTGACATGTACAAACTGCTAGAGTCGCTCATATGCCCCGCGCTGAGTATGTCACTACCGGGTGCAAAGATATCCACTGCCTGGCCATAATTTGACCACAAGGTGCGATAACTAGTCGAGTCAATAGCGCCAACAGTGATGGCTGATGGAGCGGATGCAGGCGAGTAGTTTGCAGCATCTGTCCCATCGTTTCCAGCTGCCACCACGATAGTGATGCCGAGATCAGTGGCAGCTTTGACAGCATCATTGCCGATCTTGGTATAGGGGCCGCCAAGCGATGCGTTGATAATGCTCTTCTTGGTGATACCACGGGACTTGGCGTGGTTGACAGCCCACTGTAGGCCCTGAAGGGTAGTGGACATGCTACTAAGACCGTCCTTGTCAATCACCTTGACTGCATACATCCTGCAACCTTTAGCTACGCCGTAGGACTTACCACCTACAGTGCCAGCAACATGTGTCCCGTGGCCAAACTCGTCTGTATCAGGAGAGCCACTAACGAAGTTAGTGCCCCAGAGGGCACGACCACCAAACTCCTTGTGCGTAGTTCGGATGCCAGAGTCGAGGATATAAACGGTTGAGCCAGAACCAGCCGTCGAATCGTAGTTGTATCTAGCGTCCACACCCTTCTCAGAATAGACTTGAGAGATGCGGGCAAGACCCCATGGCGCAGATGCCTGGCTGGTCAATCCGCGTTTCGTGATCAGGCCTGAGCTGGGCGCTGCAACAGCAGAGACGTTCACAATCGTATCCTGCTCAATATAATCGACCTGAATACTCATGTTAACATCTAGCCCACCTCGGCTGAAGCTCAGAACTACTTGCGAGATCAGAGTCCATCACTTCCTAAAGCTCTGAGGAGGGAATCTCGGCGACATAGCCTTTGAACCCATCAAGGTCGATATTCTCCACAATACCCTCCTTTCCCTTACTTTTTGCCTTCTTATGGATGAATTCTTCATGCTTCTTCTTGCTGCTGGAGGAAAGTTTCGGTTTGTACTTAATGATATAACTGTTTGGGACGACAAGCTCGGGTTCGACATTGGCGTTCTGAACTTTGACCTGGGCAAGGGTCAAACCGACAAGCTCAGCGAGAAGGAACAAAGATAAAAGACGCTTCATAGCAATAGTAGTTAAAGAGGACAAGAAAGAAGTAAAGTAATAAGGCTCTATGCTGCGCTATATGTTGTGATAAATCCGAATCCTAGCAGGCCATCCCCGAGATCTTTTTATAGTATTTACATCCCCTACTGAATTAGAATCATTCCCTATCATTACTAACTATAAGGGCAGTTAAAACATTTTTAACAATCCAATCACATATTCTAGATTATGGGAATAGCAGTGTATCACCGAAAGCAGCATTTAGGTTTGTGCCTTAATACCTAAGCTTAGATCTACGGCTAACGGCGTTCCCGGGCCACTGGTATGCTATTGGGCTAGAAATGTCTCTAAGCCATGATCTACAGCCTTGAGAACCAAACCGGATCTCTGGTGCCATCAAACAGCTGATAAATAATGTTTAAATTCCTGATGATTCGCGCGTTGGCTTGCCACAACCAACACGATTGGCTACGAAATGTAGATCGTTAAGTCTGGTTCCTGATTTCATTTCTCAGCCCCAAATCCAGGCCCAGGAGGCAGGACGAGATCCATACTTGAGAACCCTCATCAGCAATAGGTACCTGTTTCATCATGCTACAATCAGGAGTATGGTATAGCTTTTGATCATGCAGCTATAGAGAGGAAATGTGGATAATGTAGAACTTTATAAGAGCTCTTCAATAGTAGAGGTTTTGGTATCTATCATTTGCTTCAATAACCTCAAGGACAGTTGATATAAACTGTTTCTTTAAGGTATGCGCACTTCGAAGTAAGCAAACCACAGCTTTGGTCTAAATCACCCTCTTACCTTCGTAACAGCGCCTCTTCTCCGCCCACTCTCTATTGATGCCCTTATAATCCTGAATCGTATATCCCGAGAATACCTCCCGTGTTGCACTCTGCTTTCTGCGACTGCAAACACCAAGATCCTGAAGCAACATATCTGCATACGGGACAGTATCGTACACAAACTCAGGATACCACGCTGAGAATCCACAAGGGTAGCGCAGTCTACCGTAACAGCTTGACAGCGCGGTCTCCTTGTAGACTCTGTCCTTGGGAATGTCGATCATATTGTTGAGGTAGGCATATGCCCAGAGAGCTTGCGTTTCAGCAATGATGATGTTGGCGGTGCTGTGGACCATTTTGATGAAGACAATAGAATTGTCGGATCGCGATGTCAGACCAGGTGATGCCATGCCGCGGTATAAGCGATATGGTGAAACCTTTTGCTTGTAGGGTATGACATTCTTAGGTGGGCGGGAGAGGTATGGAAACCTCTGGAGGATTTCATGCTCCGCTTCTTTGTCAAGATGGCCCCAGAAAGCCTGCTCCTCAATGCTCATGTTATCGGTAGGAATGCCGAGGCTTGCTTCGATTCCGTCAGGCTTGTACTGGACGTTTGGTGAAAGCTTCCATCCGGTGATGGCTATGAGAGCATCTGTCTGGTAGCTTGTACCGTCGGCAAAATTGATCGTTCCGTTTTTTGACAGATGCGAGATATCTTTCTTGATGATTTGGACCTGTCCCGAGTTTACATAGTCGTGGATATTGCCCGGATAGTTGAGGACACCGACTCGAGCAGACCAAAACAAACTATTTGTCGAGGTCAGTGTGTGAACAGTAAAATCTAAAACTGAAAGAGATAGATACTTACCTCTCGTAAGGCTCCAGTTGGGCAATGGCTTCATTCTTCCTGTACCCGTTGAAGTTGACAGTGTCCATCCGGATCTTCTCCCAAAGACGATGCACCATTGTCCGACCGAGCCATGTCCCGTGCAAGAAGCGCCGAACCCACGAGTAACCATCGTACTCCCCCCAGACACAGGGACTAAACCACGTAAAGAATCTCATAGTGGCGACATGCTCCAGCTGCAAGGTGAAAGGACCCATCTTGACCCAGGGCGGAGACATCCAAACACCACCGCCACCAGACTCGCGAATGACCCAAGTCACTTTCTTGCCACGAGAAGCCATGAGTTGCACAGCATCATAACCTGTCTTCGACGCTCCAACGATGGTGACGGACTTGACGTTAGGGTCTGAGGCTACTTCGTGCGCCTCAACCTTGAGCTGACCGTGGTTGAGGACTGGCTTGCCGAAGGCCTCGCGACCTGGATACGACACTGGATTCGGGGTCGAAGCAAGACCAGTGCACATGATGAGTTTCTCGCAGCGATATGAAACTGGGACGGGCTTCTCGCCAGTAGCTCCATCTTCGCCGACAAGGTCCCATCCGCCTTTGTCTAGCTTTTCTATCGTGTGAATGTTGATGTTGAAGCGAATACGACGAAAGATGTCGAATTTGACTGCAAAGTCGGTCATGTACCTGTAGAGAACAAGGCCTGGGATATGCTCCCCTTCCTTTACGCCATAGCCGTCATGAAGAGGGAAGTCGGTGAATTCGTAGGTACCTCGTAGGTTGTTCGTCTTGAGGCCATCGTAACAGTTTTCTTCAGCCCAGACTCCACCCAACCCAGATCGCTGTTGGTGGAGTATTAGCTGGTTGTCTCTGACAGTGTACCGCACGCGTGGAGTGTACCTTTTCAAGAAGCAAGATATCGGCTTCAGGATCTAGTTCCAAGTACGTCTTTGCTGCGGCGAGTCCACCGACGCCTAGGTATCTGCCATTAGATGCACGACCCTATATCTGATTTGGATCTTCTCAAGAGGCGCACTCACCAGTTCCGACGATGATGATGGATGCTCTGTGTGACTTCATTCTGATGTTGGTATCCCGAATGCATCTACTTTCAGTGTCTTGTCGTTTCTGCTAGAACACGAGGTATTGACTTGGACATGAAAGATCTTGCTGATGGTAGGTGACTTAAATAATAAATTCTCGGCCTTCTGAACCACTTTGTCCCTTGACAACCGCAGCAATTTCCCCCGCAATAGACCCTTACCCCAGATAATGGAGCGTGGGGATTGAGACAGGGTGGAGCTTTCGGTTATCGAGCCTCAGCAATGCGCACTTATTATCGCTCATTATAATCTGCATTATCCATTTTCGTATCTGACACTGAAGATCTTGGGGCGTTCCAGCCGGGAAATGGTAGGAGGGCCAAAGTGGGGTAATTCCCACGCCGAGCAGTTCTAAGTGGTACGCGATTCTAAAGTGGTACACGGCAAAGTGGTACATGATAAGTGGATATCGGTAGTTGGCAGATAAGCTTGGAGAGCAGGCAGTGATACATTCTGGCGATCTCTTACTCCTATCAACATACTACGGCGCCAAAGAGGTGTGTTCTTTATCAGCTTGATATTCTATCTGCGACGTGAGCAATGAGAGCCCTGGGCTTCAGCATCTACATAGACTCAGTAAGACTAAAGGCGAAGAGAGCAAACAGGACTTCTAGTCGCAGCGGTTATGTTCCTGGCGTGTAATCCACTCTACCGCTATTAACCCTCGCACTCAAGCAGTCAACTCAAAATGACTCCGTGTCCACAATGCCCTGAAGGACCTTCATTGCTTCGAAAGCCGCAGTCCATCGAACTGTCTTGAGATACTTTGCCACTTCAATAGCCAGACCATGCGGGCAACATCTATGCAGATCTCTGCCAATTGTCGCTGGGGTACAAGATGCCATGTTCGAGATGGCCTGGTGCATAAGAGCCTTTGACTGTGTCTGCAAGATATCCTCTCCACCAATGCTATGATGACAGCCTCGACGGTTATCGTCCTGCGAGAAATGCACAAAAGCCCAAATCGTCAAGACGCCGATATAAAGACACCACGGGTAATGGAACATGCCATTAGCCTTCCAGTTCCGCAGGTTCAACAGGCCCTCGCGGATCATCTGTGCAGCGTGCCACGCAGCATGACCAGCCGAGTCAGGAGACACTCGAACCCACTCCATCACCGCGTTGATACTCTCTTCGCGCTCTGTGCTCGTTACAACATGTCCAAAGATAGCCTCAGCGCCTGCTGCAATCTGAAGGTGACGGATATCCGCATTGACGACAATATGGGCCGTGTGATAAAGCGCAAGAAAAGCCACATTTTCCTGGCGGAACTCATGTAGCGACGAATCTTCATCGATGATTTGTCTTGTCCCCATAGCGTAAGCATCATACTTTGTCTTCCAGAGCTCTAGTGCAGCCGTCATCCGACAGCGCCAATCGTTGTTGTTCCCTTGTGCAGCATTTCCAAGATAGATGGACTGGTTCTGAAAATGGACCATGTCGTTGCACATTGACATTAAGCCATGCAAAATAAAGCTCAGAGATAAGCTGTCCAAGGTCTCACGCCATATAATCCCCCCGTCCTCGATAAAGTCCTTCACCATAGTGTTGACCATCGGAGGATCACTCTTCGATGAAATTATCGCGTTCCATGCATCTTCATCATTTGCCTCCCAAAGCCGCCTGGAGCATGGAAGGTTCACTTGAATTGATTGGGTAGACATACTTGGCATGAACGAGTAGTAGCTCACATTCTGCGTATCCCACATGAAGATAAATAATATCAAGCTAGAGCAACTGTGAGTAACATGTTGATTGGCTCCTGGAAATCGGCAGTCTTACCGTTTGTACTGCTCATGGTAAGCAAATGCTTTCCAGTCCTTCTTACGATCTATCCTCAAGTCAGGAACCATTATTCTGGCCCGAACGTGGTAACGGGACAGTCTCCTTATAGCCTAGTCTTTGCGTCAGTAGGAAGGTTTCTGAACATTAAAGCTAGACTTACGTTGAACAGAAAGGTATGCATTACAATGGCATTTTCCCGCTGGTATGCTCCAGCTCGATATATCCCATAACATTCTAATACCATAAAGGCCTGGAGAATGGAAAGATCAGGCACCTTGATCCCACTGAGCCCGCTCATGATATATGGCGTCATGGCATCATACAAGCAGACTGAAAGTTGATGGTCTTCTTTCTCCTTATATGTAGCCCCAAAGACAATTAGAGATAACAGGAATAATGGCTCCGCGTCGAGAACCTCAAGTGTCGGTGTGTGTATCATGGGGTAGCAAGAGTTGAAATTAGCAAAGAATAAGTCGAGGTACTCCTGCATTCGGTCGAGAGAGAGGTCTGCCGTCTTCTCATCTATCGATGTGCCGTCTGGATAAACTGGTCTCATATCGTTGATGAGCCCGAGAATCTCCCCCCTCTTTGTTTGCGTCAGATGCAGGTTATTCAGTCCCAGGCGCCCAAGAGAGCATAAACTGTCCACTTCTGCGGAATTACTGCTTGTCTCAAGTGCTTCCTTATTGTGACCTCCTGTTGGTTGGGGGCTAGGTAGTTCTTCATCAGGATCTGCAGACTGGCACTCCGTCGATGTTCTCATCGTCGACGAGTTCAGTGTTGATGCGTCTTGGATCGGATGAGACAATTGGCCATCCTGATCAAAGTCAAGAGAGCTTGGGGGTAAGATAGGTAAGTCGTCTGGGCCGGGAACTAGGCTTAGATCTCGGAATCCGGTTGGAGAGTGCGGATTGCCTGTGACATTGAAATGCATAAAGTCAAAGGTGGAGTCGTGATACATGTCTCCGAGCTCAAGAAAGTCGAAGCCATCTGTGCTCAGAATTTCTCCCTGAGGTTCAGCCGAGATGGCTTCATCGAATATGACAGATCGCTCTGTCGCTTGCTGGAAATTACCGACCGTTGATTCGTCGCTCCCCAACATAGCTCCCTGCTCAGGAATAGCTGAAGAGACCACATCAGCTCCCGGTTGGCCTATTGCCACTGTTCTCGACTGGTCCCTTGATGGTACCAATGGTTGGGCACTCGTTAACCCAGAAGCCATTATAAGTCGGCCCCGGCGATGTCGTTTAGTCTTGAGGATGCCGAGCCCTAACCCGCCAGCTAGCCGGTCTTTACTTGCATGGCGAGCCTTGTGTCGCTCTGAAAGAACAAGGTCAGTAATTTTTCGTACTTTAGAAATCAAAAAAAGGATATACCGAGTAGATCACGGCGCTTGAAGGATGCAGCGCATCGAGGGCATTCAAACTCGACAGCAGAATGATTCAGAGCGTGCCGCGCGAGATGCGATGGCCGACTGAATGACTTTCCGCACCCTGGCTTGGGGCATTGATGCCGCTTTGCTACGCGCCTCCGGCTCCGCGCCTCATCATGCCGTGGCTCTCTGGGTCCGAGGTGATTGTCATCCATCTCTCCACTACGAGCTTCTCTCATGCAAAGCAATGGAGTAGTGATATGGAAATGATGATGTGTCGGATAAAAGTAGTAGCGACGAGAGGTGCGTTACCCGCCTAGTCCAGCCGCTAACCCTTTAGCCGATGTCGGGCACTCCGATGTAGATAAGACCGCAGTTAAAGAAACTCTAAGACGTAGAAGCGTTCCAGATATGCAAGGCGATGTATGATGGAGATGGATACACATTCTATACAATGAACAAACTGTGGAAAAGAGAGATTCATAACAATATAAAACTACAAATAAATAGAGATACTACCGTGAGGGGCTTCCTACAGCCATTACCATAAATTGGGGCACCATTTTATGAAAACCTTAATATCTTAGTAAAATAGACTCACAACCTGGAACGGTTCAGCCGATTATACTTTAGTGTATGTGGCAGATCTTTAGCTTTAGTATGGCTCTCACCGAAATCGAGCCTCACTACCTTCAAGAGGCAGATCATCTTCTAAAGGGTCGTATAATATTTACACTGTCAACCACCCAGCAAGCCCTGCAACAAAATAAACCTAGTGGCTTCACAGAAAAGCAATAACACCAGCAGTATGCCGACTATCTATGCTGCATAACCTTTACTTTTGATCGGCGCTAGCTACTACTTAGCGACTTGGCTTCGAGCAATGCAATAGGGCGCAGTATCCTAGCCGCGCAAGCACGTTTTAGTGGAGGATTTAACTCAAATCGCCTATGAATAATACCTAGGATGAGATGACGGATTGTGCAATGGATGAGTCCACCGCGACTTTCCGAATCCCTGGCGCAGGTCCCAGACATATAGCATTTGACGCCAGCAGATGTATAAGCTTGTCAAGATCAATGGTAATCTGGGAGGCTGAGTGATAGCTCTGCTCAATGGAACTGGTGTACGGTACTCTCGGTGGTTGGATTGGTATAAGGCCAGTTCTTAGTAGAGGGAGGGGCTCAGCTGGACTGATCGGCTGTTCAGGCCTCGGAAGTCCGAATATTGAATAGTCTGCAGGCTCGTGACGTCGTAAATCGACGGATGAGTCTCCTATTTGGCTTAGAGGCTGTTGGAAATCGCTGGTCCGGGAAGTGACCTGTATTTGATCTGGTACTGCGGATATGGGACTGATGGTTGGTGTGAAAGGCGGCCCATTCTGCAGGTCATTATTTCGAGTGGGTATTTGAGGCTCGAGCTCCTCAAATTTGGCCATATGACTCAAGCTTGCACTGCGTAAATAGATTCCCCGGTCTTCCAGGTACTCCTCAACGTCCCTGGCTTCTAGCCATTCCCCCTGTAATGGTGGAAAGTCCGTCGCCAACAGAGTCCTAGTCTTACCGCGCATGATCCGCTGCACTGATGGCGACGGTAATCGACGTATAAAGTTTTTATCACCTTCAACAACACGGTACATGGATGGCAAATGAACCGCGGACTGCGGGAGATACTGGTAGTCTGCTGTCGGATGAAAGAGGGAAAGAATCTTCAGGGTCTCATCTACGAGCAACTCCTTGCCGAGAATATTCAGAGGTAGAGTCAAGTCCAGGAGGCGGCTCGCGTGTCTAGAACTGCTTGATAAGATAGTGATGACACGTTCAAGGCAAGCTCGAATGATCCTCTCCGACAGCGAGCCCAAGGCTTGGTTATTCGTTCGTAGTGACAGGGCTACCCCTTCGGATGAACCGGTGAGTGCCAGAGCTGGCACATGAGCCGTCATGGGCTCCAGACCCAAGATCCAGTCATTTTGCAATTCTCCAGCAGCGGCTGTACTTGAGAGCGATGTTGTTCCTGGGGCGGGCTGCTGAATGCTCGGGTACGTGGATTCGGAAGCATATAAAAGTCTGGCGGTCTTGTTTGTGTCACTGGCAATTGTCGCCATTTCTGAAGCTGCTTGGTTCAGACAAGTCAGAAGACCAGATGAACCGCGTACTTCAGGGAACTCAAGAACACGCTGATGGAGGGTAGCAAAGGCAGCAAGCGCCTGATCCAACGCCCCGCTCAGACGCTCGCTTCGAGCCCTTTCTAGGTTCAACGCATCCTCTTTCCGAGCTCGATACGTCCTCTGTGCCAATCTCATCCGCATCCGCTTGTTCTGGAGTTCCTTTAGCTGGAGCTTTGCAGAGCAGGGTTACTAAACACACCTCGGCGTCGTCCTTGGCTCTGACGTCGTCCTGACCTTGTAGACGTGGTCGACCACGACGTGGCTCTTGGTAATGCGTCATTTTCTTCTCGGTGAGCAAATCTCTGGAGGTTTGAGAAGAGTGCAATGTCGATAAGGAGAATTGTGCCTACAACTGCTGATAAATCTATGTAGAAGACAAATTGTGGGGCAAGGACAGGGAGGGAGTCAGAAGCTAGACCATTCGTGGGAAACAGGCTGCTTGATGATCAATGCGAGCTAACCCCCCAAGACAAATTACGGGGCTATACTCATCTGCCACTAACTAAATTTGCTTTCATAAGCTATTCTAATTAGTCGCGAGGTGGGCGATGAAAACAGTCGTTGTGACTGAATAGGCCCAAAGTGATATTTATGCCGGCTTGCCTCAGCTTTATAAAGAGCCTGTGTCTCCATGAGCAGTGCTATAGTTTCAAACCTTCCTTGACTTTGTCCATCACTTGATCACACAACCTGACCTCCACCACGGCAAACTCACCGGGAACGATGGTTCCCCAGACTCAGAAACAATGGGTAGTTCGCGGCAGCAATGGCTTTGACTCCTTGGAATTCCAGACAGGATGTCCGATTCCGTCTATCGGCGATCTAGATGTCTTAATTCAAAGTACTATCATCCACGTCTCACCATGGCATTATGTTATCTGTCGCTAACTTAAGTCTACTGCCGTTAGTTCATGCCGTCTCGCTTAACTTCCGCGACCTTATTATTACTAAGGTGAGTACTTCTGTGCGGTGTGCTCATTTCGCAAATACCCATCCCTTCCTCAGATCTCCGAAACTCCAAGATAGAGAGCGCTGACCAATGCATTAGGGACTGTACCCTTTCCCGCTGAAGGACGGCTTAGTGCCCTTGTCCGATGGAGCTGGCATCGTTGTCGCCGTGGGCTCTCGTGTAAGCCGTTTTACTGTCGGCGACCGGGTTGCAACCTTGTTCCACCAGCACCACCTCGCAGGGCCCCTCGACTCTAGAGGCCTGCATAGTAGTCTAGGGGGCGCTTATGATGGCGTACTACGAGAGTATGCAGCATTTTCGGAGGAGGGCCTTGTTAGTGTTCCAGGCAATTTGAGCTTGCTTGAGGCTGCGTCTTTGCCATGTGCTGCCCTGACAGCCTGGAGTGCCCTTTATGGGCTTGAGGGCCGGGCATTGAAGCCAGGCGATGTCGTCCTCACTGAAGGCACAGGTGGTGTCAGCAGCTTTGCTGTCCAGGTGCGGTCCTGTGAAACTAGCAAAATACTCTAAGCATTGTGAAACTAATTTTCTTCAAGTTTGCCAAAGCAGCCGGTGCCAAAGTCATTTCAACAACTTCGGCAGCTGACAAGGCAGAAAGGCTCAAGGAACTGGGTGCAGACCACGTCGTCAACTACAAGGAGAACCCCAATTGGGGGCAGATAGCAAAGAACTTGACACCCAATAACGAAGGCGTTTCCATCGTCGTCGAGGTTGGGGGGCCGTCAACTGCTAGAGAGGTATGTTAAGCTTACATCCCAAGAAATTCCTTTTCAAGGTACAATCAGGACCTGACTCGAGAACTTTGTTGGTAGGCGCTCGATGCTGTGAAGCGCGAAGGGCTCATCTCAATGGTGGGCTCCATAGGCAGCTTTACTTCCCCCGGAAGCGATGCGAAAGCGCCGACTTTTCTTGACGCCATCTACAGCTCTTGCACAGTACGGGCTGTCGCTGTTGGTTCAAGACTTCAGTTTGAGGAAATGAATCGTGCCATCGAAGCAAATGATATTCACCCCGTCCTGGATGAGCGCGTCTTCGAGCTGGGACAGGCGCGAGAGGCCTACCAGTATCTCTGGGATCAGAAGCATTTTGGCAAGGTCGTTCTTAGAATTGCCCATTAGATTCTATTTTAGAGTTGTTAAGATCGCTTACAGGTCTTCCATAGTCTGACTGTATCCCAGGAATTAACACCAAGGTGGTTTTAGTTTTCTCAACATTAACTTGATATTTTCCACGTCCCTTCTGTCGACCTACACCTAACTTCAACTACCTAGAGAAGACGAGTTATTCGGCCATATCCGAAATGGTCGTTTTGCAAAAATGTATGCTGTGTCATGTTGTCCATGATGCTAGCATCTATCACACTATGCTCTCCTGGTTGCTTTTCTTCAGTGGCCAGAAGTATCAAACCACTGGTGAACACTGAGCGATCCCACTTCACCGGCTGTATGAAGAGATAGTGGCTTGCTTTCTTTAGTCTGCGACGTATGGTGAATTCCATGTCAACATCAAAGGGCTTCTCTGTTGGGTATGAATACACCGTGTAAAGCTCCGTGCCCGCAGCAAAGTAATTGCTGTTGTCATCATCCGCAATCTTCATTCTGACCGGAAAAGCAGCAACGACCATTGCACCTTCAGAGATGTGCGGATGTGCCGCGTTTATACCTGCTCCAATCATCGAATATTCTCGCTGGGCGCACATGCTAGGCAACCAACTCCTATTGGCGACAGGGTCTTGACGTGTGCTGGTTAATAGGATATTTGCCCCGAGAGCGCCGGTGCCAATAATCCTCTCCACAAGTTGCGTAGGGTCGATCCTGTAATCTACAGCCGGAAGCTTGTCCGATGCCATGGAGAACAGGCTGTAGTACTCATCCAACTCCAGAGTGGCTTCTCGCCCACGAATCTTATCCAAAAGCACTGCCAAGGGACGCTTGCAGGCGTTCGCGTCAAGGATGGTACCGTGACTCAAACACCTGATTATTGCCCTCTGATATATAGATTCCTCTGTTGGGTCTGCTATCGTCGCTGACATGGCGGCCAGGGTTGTCTTGTCCGTATGGCCTACTTCCATAGCGAGGTGCGGGAGCGTGTTTATATGGCTATTACCAAACGGTGAACTGCATAAAATGCCCACAAGTTGTGAAGAGTCGATCAGAGGTGCCGATTCTTGACCTGTCCAAAAGGTGCATTGCTTGCTCATGATGGCTTCTTGCAATGTCCAGCAGCGCTTTCTCCACTCGCAGCTCTCCCATATCTGCTTGACTTGCTGAACTAGCTCTGGACTGTAGATTCGGACTCTGGGACCCTCGGCCTCTAGCTGCGCCATTTCAAGTGGAAATGGCATGCCAGGAAGGATCAGTGTATGCTCGGCGTTAGAGTAGTAGTCCTTCATCTTGGGCACCTCGGTTTCTTTGTCCTCATAGCTGTCTTGGTCTATGCACCAGCGGTCGACCCAGTAGTACCGATGCTTCAATACTTCGTGGACCTTCGCGATGATCCTTTCCAATTCTCCAGAGTCGTACGACTTCCAAGGGTATGAGAGTGCTATGTAGCTCTCTACAGGCTCATCCGCAGGTCTGGTCACTATCCTATCTTTGAGATGCGCCTCGCTGCTCCGCAAAGCGTCGTAAAATCTCCGAGGTGTGACCTTGACCTCAGATATACGCGCTCCTTTGTCTGCTTCTGCTAGTCCCCCGGGTAGGAGACAACCGCATGACCCGCGATGGACCTCGCTCCTTGGGGCCACGGCATAGTATGGTACAACCCTTGAGACGAGCCCTTGCAAACGATCCAACGTTAGAGGCTGACTACCGCCGCATAGCCTATCAAGCGGCAGAAACGGAAGGACGGGTGCCGCAATCTGCAGTTTGTTGGTGTCGTTAATCTCGGCCTCCAGAATGTTCAAGAGCTCGTCCTGAATCTCTGATCTCGCTTTTACTAGAGCCTTTCCCATCTCCGAATGGGCGCCAAGGAACTCCACACGCTCTAGTGCGATGGCAATGATACTGAAGACTTTAGCCAAGATGATGAAGCTGTCGCAATTCCACGCCGGGGGCAGCTGCACCAGGGTTCTGTTCGTGTTCTCTTCCAGCACCACCTGTGTTACCCGGCCTGGAGATGGCGTTTTGATCAGTAGCCCCAAGCTCAGCATAAATGAGGTACCGACGCCGTTGGAGTCAAGGCACACGCATGGATCGACCGAGGTCAGGTCCGCCCTCTTCCTATTTTTGCCAGGAATTTTCCGCGATTCCCAACTTCCCTTATTCTCTTCGACATTCGTGGGGTCATCAGAGTCATCATCAGATTCTTCATCTGTGAAGGTTATGCGCAATCGACATCCACGGGGTTTAGACGTCCACGATGAATCCGTCTGCATCGTGTGAGCAATCTCTTCGTCGGTCAAGACGCCGCATATACGCGGCCATGACATCAATCCCTTGATATCGGAATGAGGCCCGGGAGACTCTGGGCCGCTGCGAGGAAGCATGAGATTGCAGTAGCGAACGTCGTCGATTTCGCCGTTGCGCTGAACACAAACTCGCATGTTGCGGTCGAATGGATCGTAGTCCGACATGTTAGTTGTCCTCTCGTATTTCTTTTGCTGTAGTGTTAAGTTGGTATAAGCTACAGAAGTCGAAGTTTCATGCTGCTTTAATTTAATGGTGTTGTATGGTAATAGCCAAAAAGTATTAAAGAGGTAAAATAAGCTATGTAAAACTAAATACAAAGTTGCGGTGTGAGATTGTGGAGTGTGATTTATATATATAACTCAGTACATTATGGGTAACCTGGCTTACGAGATGAGTAAATCATACCATTCTTAAGGCTTGGCATCACCCCTGCGCCCGAAGAGGAGTTACAGGGATAAGCAAGAGTGGATTGATTCAAGGCAAAATGTTAGATTTAAATAAGACCACTTCTTACTTCAAGCCTGTTATCACTTCATTGGTGTAGCTCTGATTCAGAAAACAGAACATGTAGATATATACACAATTAACTCTTATGATGAACAGGTACGCCTTGAATCACAGCGTCTTTCTCACTTCCCTCCGATCCTATGCCCATACCCAACTTGATGGCTTCAGCCTCGGTAAAAGACCCGAAGTAGTCCATGTCGTCAACGAGTCCTAGGCCAGGGGGCGGAAACACGCGGTTTATAAGGTAATGCGCAGTGAATGAGATGGCAAATCCGAGAGGGAACGCCAGATAAAATAGTTCATGCCAGGCCTCCCCCACCTTGACTTTGTCGGGAGTTACCCCGGCAGCAAATCCAGGCAACTGAGTCGCAAAGCCAAGGAACCAAGCAATGAAGCTTCTTAGATTGAAGCCACCAGTGAAGTAATAAATGCTGGTAGGGCCAGGACTGTAGAGATCGGATAATTTGAGACGGCGGGAACGAATCAGCCAGTAATCACAGACTTGGATGCCAATAATCGGCCCAAGAAAGACACTGTATGCTGACAAGACGGAGATGAAGACGCTGGCTGAAGAAAGAAGCTCCCATGGGCACATAGCAACGCTCAAGACTAGAGCAATAAAAGCACCTCGCCTGATGTTGATATAGGAACTGACCAGACCGGCGAGATCCATGCCAGCACTGTATGCGTTATCGACGACGTTAATGGCGATCTGGCACATTACGAGGCCCAAGCCAGCAAAGAATGCGGCGGCTCTTGAACCAGATGAGTAGTCTCTGTCGAGCCACTGTTGGCAGATTAGGGCTTCATAGTTGATACATGGTTAGTGGTGATGGATCAACAAGAGGGCACTAGAGTTGGACTTACGGGGATTCCAGATGGCCTCGCCCCAGATTCCCTGGGTGGCTGAGGCTGCGAGACAACCAAAGAGAGGAAAGAGTGTGCCGAAAAAGCTGTAAATGTAAGTTGCTGCCTTTGTAGAACTTGGTCGTTGGCGATAACTTACATGATGGAGAACCACTGTCCAAATACTTGGTCGCCAGGCTTCTGAGCAAATCGGGTGTAATCATTTGCATTAGTCAGTCCAACTGCTATGCCACCAATGACAGTTGTTACACCAGATGTGATAGCCCAGCCAAGGTCATGCGAGCTCATTGGTGTTGCACTCTCCGAAAGGAGAGGACCGCCTCCTTTAGCTTCAACAAGAGACCAAATCATAATGGAAATGAGAGTGACCGACGCAATTATGTTGAAAATAAGGAGAACCCTCTTGATCTTATGAGGATGAATCCACAGCACAGGAATCATGGAGACATTGAAAAGAATCCAGCCAACGAACTGCTTCGTATCGAGATGAGACGACGCAGGAAATACATTTCCGAGTCTTTGGAAGCTGGGGAACATGGCGGATAAGATGACGGAGATGCAAAGACCGCCTGTCCACGACTGCACAGAGAACCAGACTAGACTAAGGATAATCCTCTGGACGATGGCGATAAAGGATCCGTATGGGCCCCAGATATATCTTGAAACGACAGGGAAGCCAATGTGCCATTCAGCTCCAGTGTAGCCATTGAATATTGCTACCAGGCTGATGATGACTTTGCCGATTAAGGTAGCTATAACGACTTGCCAGACGCTGAGGCCGGTGGCGACAAGAGAAGCGCCCAGTTGCCAGTTGGATACTACGTGGGAGTCAGATTATACGTAAATTTATAGAAGTTGAGAGTGGTGGCTTACTGGCGACCTGGTTCACCAACCAGAAAGATATAAAGGTCATGGTGTTCCATGTTCGACGCTCTGGCTCCAAGGGACGGATGTCGTCATTGATCCATACATTGGAGACGGCTCTATCTGCGCTGGGCAGTCTCATCCAGGTCAAGATGGCTTTTAGGGACATATTGGCAGGATGGTCCTTTACGTCGGAGCTGTAACAGTTACTCTGACCCGTTCGGATCACAACAGGGTTTGTGGGTTCTCATTCATTTTATGAGGTCTCTTATCACTATTGATGTCTTGAAGATAAGCAAGCACCCATTGCCACTACCATCCGGTTGGGTTACATTGTGCGAGGTTCGAAAAGAGGGGTTCCAAAGCGACAGATAATGATTTGGTGCCATCTTGTGCTACCTAAAGTTGAGCCTTGCGTAACGCTGTTCCAGAAAAAGGACTCATATCCGGTAGATGAGACCCGGGGCCCGGATACCGGAACCAAACTGTCGTATCACATATGGCCTTGCCGACCAGGTGGAATTGCAATTAGAAGACAAATTATCCGATTTGTTGTTAAAGTATGGACAGACCAAGATAAGTTATAGATAGAGAGGTAATTCATGTAGGCCGACATCAACTGCCGTTTCGGCATTCCCGATTCAGAAATGCCGCGGCATTTAGCCTGATAATTGATGATGATCAACACACTCGGATCGTTTCGACCCGACCAAAGTTGACCGAAGATAGGGGAACCACTTGCTCGGGACAATTGCACCGTTTGAGCAAGCAAGAAAGTCCAGAGATGTTCGTCTAAATTAACCCCGCAACGTTATCTTCGAGATGCGAGAGATATCGTGGCAGAAACCCCGCAGATGCATGAAACCTCGCGATTTGTCCATGTAACCTAACCGTATTGCTCCACTTTCTATGGTAGCAATGATGTAAGAGACGATCTTTTATATGAGAAAACGGTCGACTATCCTCACTTGTAAATTTGCTATCAGGAGATTACTACACGAGTTTCATATTTCGAGCTCTAAACCCTGCCCATCATGACTCTAAGTAAATCTGTACGCATAGGAGTCGACGTCGGCGGTACCAATACCGACGCCGTCGCCATAGACGTCGGCCTCGCTGCTCAAGGCGATACCCAGCGAGGCGTCATCGCTTTTAAGAAAACTCCTACCACGCCAGATGCGACTGCTGGAATTGAGACTGCTATTAGAGCTGTCATTGACGCTGGCAACATAGTTCCCCAGCGGATAGCGAGCATCACAGTCGGCACAACACACTTTATCAATGCAGTCGTGGAGAGAGATGCACGGCGACTTCAAAAGGTCGGCGTCTTGAGACTGTCACGCTCGTTCCTGCGTGAAGTTCCGCCCTTCTCAGACTTTCCGCCCGATCTCGCAGCTATCATCAAGGGATATTGCGGCATCATCGATGGAGGCCTGCATATTGATGGGTCTCAGGAAGCACCAATCAGAGAAGACCAAGTTTTGGCCGAATGCGAGAAGATCAAGGCAGAGAATCTGAAGGCTGTTGTGATCGCCGGCGTCTTTTCTCCCATCGACGAGGTATTCAAGCAAGAGAGCCGCGTCAGAGACATCATCCTACGAGAAATTCCAGGAATCGACGTCGTTTGTTCTCACGAGGTGGCGAATATAGGCTTTCTCGAGCGTGAAAACGCCAGTATCCTCAATGCTGCTATACTTCAATATGCTCGAAAAACAATGAGGAGGTTCAATCAAGCCAAGAAGAAGCTCAACCTGACATGTCCACTGTTCATTACTCAGAACGACGGAACTACTCTTGATGCTGCAGCTGCAGCTAGGATACCGATTAGGACCTTTGCATCTGGAGCAACCAACTCGATGAGAGGAGCTGCGTATTTGGCAGGTATCGATGCTGGCGGCAACTCTTCTGCCATCGTCGTAGATATCGGTGGAACGACAGCTGACATTGGCGTCATCCTGCCAAGCGGACTTCCAAGACAAGCTTCTGCCTACGTCACAGTCGCTGGAGTGAGGGTGAATTATTCAATGCCTCATCTGCACTCCGTTGGACTTGGTGGGGGCTCACTCGTGCGCAGCGTCGATGGAAAAGTCAAAGTTGGCCCGGAGTCAGTTGGTCACTATCTTATTGAAGAAGCTCTCGTGTTTGGTGGCAATACATGCACGGCATCTGATGTCGCTGTTGCCCTAGGCAGAGCAGATATGGGTGATAAGAGCAGACTCGCGGAGCTGAAACCTGAGTTTGTGCATTCTGCAAAAGACTGCATCAAGACTCTACTCGATGGCGCTGTCGATGTCATCAAGACCGCTGCTGATCCTCTTCCCGTCCTTCTGGTAGGCGGAGGTGCTGTGCTAGCACCGGAGGATATTTCAGGTGCCTCAAGGGTCATCCTCCCGCCGTTCCATGATGTGGCGAATGCCATTGGTGCTGCTATCTCTCGAGTCAGCGGTGACGTTGATATTGTCCAGAGCACAGCCCACCAGACGGAGTCGCAGGCTCTTGAGCGCGCAAAGACGATGGCCATCGAAAGAGCCATTCAAGCTGGTGCAATGCCCGAGAGTATCACCATGGCGAATGTGGAGAGTATTCCGTTGCAATACGTATCTCATCAGGTTCGAACCATTGTCAAAGCAGTGGGAGATGTTGACTTCAAGGGCTATGTATCAGAACTGGAGCTCGAGGCTGTTGACGATGACGACGAAGTCAGTGACGAACCTGAAGGGCAAAAGAATCGAGCTGTCAAGACTATAGAAGATATCCCGGTTGATCCTTTCACATACAATCCTACCATTAAGGTCAGCGATGAGGGCGTCCCTGAATGGATACTCAACGAAACAGATCTGGCTTGGCTGGCTGATGGATGTTATGTGCTCGGCTGCGCGGGTGGCGGCACTCCAGCTCCTAGCTTCATCCAACTGCGTGATATCATACGACAAGGCCATACTATTCGCATCATCGACCAGTCTTCCTTAAAGGATGATGCCCTCATCTACTGGGGCGGCCATATGGGATCTCCTGCCGTGTCGGTAGAGCGGCTACAATCGACCGAGACAGTCGAAGCATTCAATGTGCTGATGGAGTATCTCAGCCATAAGAGTATTGATGCCGTCATGGGACTAGAGATTGGCGGTGCCAACGGTATGGAACCGATGCTGGTAGGCTCCTCGCGGTTCTTCGATGCGCCTGTGATTGACGGCGACTGGATGGGCCGAGCATATCCTACATACTGGCAGACTACGCTCGCGGTACATAAACCGCTAGAGCTCGTTCCCTGTGCTATTGATTCAGGCGATGGCAAGAGTATCATCATGACTCGAGCGCCAGACGACGAGATTGTTGATAGAGCATTGAGAGCGTCATGTTCCGAGATGGGAAGCCGAGTCGGCATGGCCGCTAAACCTACTACTACCGAGTACGTGCGGAGTTATGGTGTACTTAATACCTGTTCTCTTGCTTGGAGGATAGGCAGATGCATCGCCCGCAGTGTTTACAGTAACCAGCTCTCAACAGTCGCAGAGTCCATCATCGAAGAGGCTGGCGGGTTGAAGTCAGCCAGGGTGCTATTTCGAGGAAAGATTGTAGAAGTCGAGAGAAGACTATACAAAGGGCACTCGCACGGCGCTCTACGCATTGAGGCATTTGATGAGTATGTCGAAGAGGACGGTGGATCAGAGCGTATGACACCTGTAGTCTCAGGAGGAACATTGCGAATCCCGTTCAAGAACGAGAACATTCTCGCTGAGCACACCTCTGCTGACGGGTCTGAAACCAAGATCATCGCCTCAGTCCCCGATCTCATTGCTGTGCTTGATAATGGCTCTGGTAGAGCACTGGGTGTTCCAGAGTTCAAATACGGTTATAGAGTAACGGTCCTGGGCATTACGTGCTCACCGCAGTGGACGAGAACACCTTCTGGTATTGAGATTGGAGGACCGAAAGCTTTTGGCTATGACGATGTTGTCTATAAGCCTCTTGGGGAGTATGTGGAACCTGTCAGTGTGATTAGAGAATATGCTTAATTTGAGATGCATGCATTAGAACCGCATCGAGGTAGTGGAGGCCATAGCTTCGCCCGAATCACCGGACGAGTTTGTCATAATTGGATTTCTAAGCAAAGAGAAACGAACCTGGGATTAGAGGGAAACTAAAATGCATGGCATTAAAACCTGTGGATCCAGGCGTCGTGCGGAGACAATAAACGTTAACTTTTTGTAAATGAAATTATTATTAGCTACCTGCAGTGACCTACAATTTGTGATCTCCGTAACAAAAGGCAAGGTATAAAAGGAGGTTGTAAGTCTTGACAAGTATCCGCGATTGGTATATCAAAACAATTTCGACCTCATCAAAATCTCAATCAATGGCTCAGGCAAGGAACATCCTCGTTGTTGGTGGCACAGGAACGATCGGCGGGTATATCGCCCTAGAGGCTCATTCCCACAGCTACGCCGTGACCATCAGTGGTCGCAAGCCAGTTAAAAACATTTCCAGGCATCAACCCAGCCTCCCTCCGCTGACTGTGACAATGCACGTCTGACTCACGGTTCGAAGTGTTGTACAGCTCCGAAGATTAGCAAGCATGGCGGAGAAGGCCCTTGCTATTGACTACAGCTCCCTCGCGCCAACGACCGAGATTCGTATACTTACTCTCGAGCGTGGAAGAGGTGATGATCCGATTGTATGCACCCTCCGACCTGCGACACGAGATGGAGCAGAATACCATGCTCTGTCATATGAATGTGAAGACGAGAGCAAGAATGATCCTTTCATCACTGTCGATGGCCGCCACGATCAAATTCGCATGAACCTCTATGATGCCCTGATGAACATAAGAAAACCAACCGAAGACCAGCGGCTCTGGGCGGATGCAATATGTATCAACCAGTCAGACGTCCAAGACAAGAGCCAGCAAGTCGCCATGATGGGCGAGATATTTACAAACGCAGTCGGTGTCATATCATGGCTCGGTCCAGCCAGAGACGATAGTAATTTGGCTATGTATATGATGTTCCACAACGACACACCAGACTCCTCTAACAAAGACTCACGCAAGTTGAAAGCCCTACTTTCCCTCTGTCGTCGAAGATACTGGCGCCGAGTATGGATTATACAAGAACTGCACCTCGCAAAGAGCTATGTAGTATGGTGCGGCCACAAATCCATCCCCGACCACAGGTTTGAGAGGGCCCTGGCTGGTCTCAACTGCCAGAACGACACGTACAGCGATGACTTTTCGCAAAGCCCAGCGAATCAGCACTTGATGGCCCGATATTTCCGCTACAGCGAGATCAACAATTTATATCGCTGGCTATCCGTATGTATCCGTGGAGAATTTCAGTGCACGAGGGAGCAGGACATCATTTATGCGCTCCTAAATATTTCGACGGATTATAAGAGAGTCAAGGAGACTTTCAAGGTCGACTACTCAAAGACACCACGTGACGTCTTTCTGGAGCTTTTGTGTCAGAGGAATCTTTCCACGTGGCGCCGTGGAGATGAAGGTAGTTAGCTGGGAATTGCAGAAAAGATTAAGCTGGGCATAGATGAGGATCTGAGGAGGAAGATATTTAAGGAGGTCGATATCTAGGAGACTTGCTGGCTGATGGATGACTAAGAAACGGCAATTATACTGGCTTGCCAGAATCTTTGGTATACTGCGGAAGTGTGATAGCAGCCAATTTCCCCTGCTTTGAGACAGAAACGCTAAGCAAGATGAAGGCAAGTGTCGACCAACTTGCAACTAACCGAAAGATCCGGAAACATGGTTGGTATGACACGGATATTTTGTTACTTGACTGGTTGCTGGATAAAGGTTGATATTTATAAATGTGAAGACTCATTATTCTTTCACAATACAACCCCTTACCAGAAGACCTTCATGATGGAGACGGGCCCTTGACCACTAGGATGATGATTGTTCATCTTTATATCCACGTTGTATTCAAGCACTCAACAGCAATTTCACTTGGCTATTTTCCATGCTATGGCCGGACAGATAAGCGAGTTATTTACTATCAGTAAATGACATTGATGTATATATCCTATGAATCAAGGCTCAACAAGAACGTCGTAATCGGGCCTTGCAGGGTTGTCTCCCAACACTGCCTCTCTGTACTTCTGATTCCAGGCAACGTACGCCTCATTGTCACCATGTTGAAGTGCCGCATCGTACGCAGCCTTCGAAGCTTGGTAATTATTGAGTGCTGCATGGTAGGCAGGCGCCTATCGTCTGGTCAGGCACATATCCCGTTTGAAGAAGTCTTGTAGAGACTTACATTTTGAACAGTCCAAGTGTTGAAGTTCTGATCACCGGCGAGGCCAGCATCTTGGTCTTGCTTAAAGTCGGATTCGGCACTTTGTTTGGCGCTGACTGCGTGGCTGTACGCCTGCTGGAGCTTCTCCTTGCTGTCTTGGATGCGAAGTTGGCTGGCCGGGTCGGACATTGTGATATAAGTGATGAGACTGTGTGATGAAGGTCTTGAAATACGATGTGATGAGTAGGAGATGGGGTAGAGAATGAGGAGCCAGGAGTGGGGTTTTATAGGCAAATGGTGAATGTGCCGTGTCTTTCGCTGACGTATGTCAAGATGGCAATCCTGCAGCCAATTTAATCAACTAGACTCATTTTTGGTAGAAATGACGATTAATTCCCCTTAGATTATCAGATCAACAGGATAGTTGCGACTATGTAAGCTAGCTGATGTATGTCTCAGCTTCAGCTGCAATCTCACCGCCGATCGCAGGCCCTTTCAAGATTTAGCGCTATACTACTATCCTATCAAACCTATCCACGAAGAACCGCAATACCTCAACAAAATCACGCTGGCAGGAGAATGGTTATTAGGCGGCAATTTACGAGACGTGAAACTTGATCATTTGGCTGCGCGGTCGTGCACGGCAACTTTCTGTCTCAGCTTGTCAGCGTGGCGTTAACGCTATTGACGTGTGTGCTGTACTGTGAGATCAGTACCCCGCCTCAGCATCTATGCTGACCTTGATGATCTCTCAAACTCAATCCAATCTCGCCATGACCCAATTCCAAGCTTTCGATTATGGTTCAGTGGAACTGCGGACGGCATCAACCGAGATCAGGCTCCTAGATCTCTGCCCCTCTCAGGGTTGGGTTGATAGCCGTCTGATCGGCTGTCTATACACAACCTCCATTGAGAGCCCGTCACCCTACATAGCTCTCTCGTATGTTTGGGGCTTAGGTGATAAAACTCAGTCGATTCACATAGCGAACTTGAATGATGATGAAGAGCATTCCATACCCATCACGGAGTCGCTGGAGACGGCACTACGACATTTCCGCAAGCCAGACGAGGTGATAACGCTATGGATCGATCAGATCTGTATCAACCAGGCAGATAATAAAGAAAAAGGCCAGCAGGTCGCGATGATGGGCAGGGTCTACTCATCTGCAGCACAAGTGCTAGTATGGCTTGGTCCAGCTCAAGATGGCTCAGACGAGCTTATGGAAGCATGGCAACACATTGGGCAAAGGGCTCGGGAGTTTGGACTGGAGAACTACATGAACCCGCAGAGCTATTACCTCATATCAGCATTGGGAAGAAACAAGGACCCTTCTGATGAGACTGCTATGAGCTTCCAAAGCTTGTTAGCCAGTACTGTAGAGGCATTTGCTCCTTTGTTAAAGCAAATGACGTTGAAGAGATGGTTTGAGCGACCTTACTTTTCACGAGTCTGGATTATCCAGGAGTTTTGTTTATGTCCTGATACCATCTTCGTATGCGGATCCAGGACTATACCCGTGGACTTTGTCAAATTTGCGGTCCTGCTGCTTCAAACCGCGATAGGTAACATGCCGCAGGGCGACTATGAGCATCTTCAACCGCCAGAGATGCCTTTGGAGCGACTGTCCGAGGTATCTTCTGAACCAACAGCACGGCTGTTTGGGTGTCGTTCACGCCATCAGAAGCATAAAGACGACGAGCTGTACATGTTGCTGCGGAGACTGTTCGTTGAGCTTCAGACGAATGCGACTGTACATTGTGACCGCATCTTTGCCCTGCTTGGCCTCGCTGCCGACGCTGAGAAACTTGGAATCCAGCCAAACTATGAGGAAAGCACTGAACGCATCTTGACGCAGACGGCGCGCACGTTGATCGAAAAGAGTGGTCGTGTAGATCTTCTGTGCTACTCTCAGTTTCCGAAACTTGATGAGCTTCACTTACCGTCGTGGGTTCCCGACTGGCGATCCAACCTAAGCCGCTCGTTCTATACCATCAACGAGCGTATGGACAAACATCTTTTTGCTGCGTCCGGTCACGATACTGTTGTTGAGGTTGTCCAAGACCCCAATGACAACTCGGATATTCTGGGACTTCAAGGTTTTACTGTTGATGTCGTTGAGGAAGTTGCAGAAGGTGATGGCTGGACGGATATGAGCTGGGATTACGAGAAATATCTTGGCTATATGGCCCAGGTAGACGATTTATGGCAGAGTTCCATGTATAAATCTGACAGCGAAGTTTCCCAACTTCGAAAGGAAGAGGCGCGATGGCGTGTGCCTATCGGAGACATCTACTGGACATGGGAAGGGGATCAGCAAAGAGCGAAAACAGATGTAGCTAGGTTCCACGAGCAGTTTCTGCAGGAACTCCAGCTTTTCGACGAAATGACCAGACTCGCAGCTACAGGAGAAGACGTTTCAGAGAAACTCGTGCAGTGGGAGGAGGAACATCGTGGCGCAGATACCAAGCATAACTATCGTGAGAGTATGAGGAAGATGCAGGGCAAGCGGCCATTTCTCACAAAAGTGGGATATTTGGGTATGGGACCAATGGAGAGCAGGTCTGGTGATGTCGTTGTTGTCTTTTGCGGAGGGCGAATTCCTTTTGTACTGCGGCCTTTGGAAGGGTCGAGCGGGCGTGATGAGTTCCTGTATGTCGGCGAGGCATACTGCGATGGTATAATGGACGGTGAAGTGACGGGAAAGAAACAGACTTTCTGGCTCAATTGATTGAGTATCATTCTGCCCACCCTGTAATTCTTCAGCCAGACATTCAATGTCCCTTTCATTTGCTAGTTATTAAGACTCTCGCGTGAATATATCCCTTCTTGTCCTAATTCTGAAGTGGATCACGAGACGTTAGTGGCTGTCTAACCTGCTACCTTTGGTCTAGCTAGACCCTTGGCCACGGCGCCGATGTCGGCTAACTCAGATGCTGTGAGTCTTGCTGCGCGATATAGGGAGTGAGTCAAGAACAGTAAAGAAAACAGCCAATAAAGACGATAGCTACTTGACTGTGACTCTCTGATGCCCTGAAGCATAAAACGACACAGGTACGGCATCTCCCTTGAGGCTTTGCTCTCTGATCATCTTTAGTCTTGCCTCAATCGGGTCACTCTTATTCAAGCTCCCGGCATTGCGTGGTGTACTTCAGTCACCAAAAGTCTTGTCAAGATGACAGTAAATCTACCAGCGAACCCAGACTTCATACAGATCAAAACCACTCTGACGAAGTTACCATACCCGCCACTGGATGATCGCCCGACTGTAAGAACAAAGCGTCTTGTTCTCAGGCCATTCTACCAAGATGCTGCAAAAGACCTTTTCCCCATGCGCGCCCAGAAAGAGGTCATGATGTGGACTGCGCAAGGCGCCCCAGACAAGGATCTTGAGGAAACCGAGAAATGGGCTGCACAAAGACTCCCACCGCACGACGAGACCAACCTGTACTACGTCATCAGTCTCATTGAAACAGGCGAAGTCATCGGAGCTGGTGGCACATACAGACGAGAGTGTGAGCTTGGCTGGCCGGCTATTGGATACGCGTTCCGCAAGGAAGCTTGGGGGAAGGGCTACGCTACCGAGTTTCTTGTCGCGTTTATGAAGATTTGGTGGGAGCTACCGCGGGCGGAGTATTCTATCGCTGTGGATAGGACTACATTGAGTGATGAGGAGATAGTAGCCAGTGTGAATGGTACTATTACGGAAAGGTGTGCTGCGGAGACTATCAAGGAGAATGGGGCAAGTAAGCGAGTTCTGGAGAAGGCTGGGTATACGTGGGTTAAGGAATGGAGGAATGAGGAGAAGAATTGGTCGATCTATGGATGGGTAACGACCGCCGCACAACTGCCTGCAAATTAGTTGATGATCAAGAATGGCATATGTGATCTTGATTATGTTACGACTTGAGGCGTTTTTTTCTCTCACGGCTTAGACACGTATATCAGAGCGAGTAAGTCCTGGACGGAATCACCAGAGAGACGAAACTCCATACTTGAATAGTTTCAGTTCCATTCAGGAATGAGAGGGACAACGATTGAATAGACTAATGGGTCTTGGTGTTGGTTGGCTACATAAAAGTCATGATACCACTGATCCTCTCCATACCATCCCCGCCAGCTAATAAGTAAAAGATTGTCCAAGCAAGATGCAAGCTTGATATAGTAGAGAGTAACCTTTCCAAGGAATTGCCTGTCCCGGTGAAGCTGTGTTTATCGGCTCCAGACGGTCGCAGGACCAGCCCCGCCCTCGTGCGCATCCTCATGCTCTCCAGCAGGAGGAGTGACCAAAGCCTGCTCTTCATCATGTTCATCGTGATACTCCGGTCGACCATGACAATGCGGGCAAGGCTGAGGCGAGCTCGACACAAAGTCCCCGACAAGCTCCTTCACAATATCCTTCATCTGACTCGTCCTAAACAGCACAAGCAGCGCAAGGTAAAAATGGAGGAACATGTTAAACATCAGCGGTGTCGACGAGTAAGCCACCAGGAAAGTCTCCCCAGTATCCTGCCACCTGTTGTGCGTCCACGTGAAGCTGAGCGTCAAGAGCGACAGGATGCCCATCAATATATCGGCGATGAGACAGTTTAATGGGTCGGTGATGGGCGTGGCGAAGGTCGCTTTGAGGTGCGCGCCTTGGCGGTGGAGGCGTTTCATGGTGAAGCCGAAGATGGCGGAGAAGATGAGCAGGATGAAGGTGAAGAAGGCGACGGGTCGGACCATGATGCAGAAGCGGACGAAGTTGAGGGGGAGACCAACGGCTGCTGAGAAGAGGAGGAAGTCCCTGGTGTGATGGAATACAGCCGCTGAGTTGATGGCTGTCATATTGCGCTGTGTTTTACTAGTGTGTATTCAGAGGTATAATTGTAATGTGTTGCGATGAGATATATCATTATCAGCATTAGTGGGATAATCGAATACTTTATACCCCAAGTCCTAGACGACTTCAAGCTGCACTGCCTTGATGATATGTATCATCTCGGAGGATGAATGGCTAAGGCACGCGTATCAGCTTCCACCATATCCTCTCGGAGTTCTCAAACAGAAGGCAAATTGATCGATCGGCATCATCTAGGCAGTGATTCTGTCGCCGATGGAATCCTTCGAGGCAGCAGCGTAAGCACTACGATGCACAACGAGTTTATGCAGCGCTGAGCTTGACCAATTGGGATAGGACGATAGGTGACTAAGCGCATAATTGCACCCACAATCACTGTGCATTAACAATTTCTAAACACTTCTATTGGCTCTTTAACGATAAATATGCAAAGTCTGCCTGATCTTCAATCTATTTGCCTGCCGATGCACCAGCCACAATGCAAAGCCTTGCGCTATTTATAGGCCTCAAGGACTGCTTGGCCAGATTACCCTATAGTTAAAGGAAGCAACAAAAAATCTTAATTCATGGATTCCTCTTTAGCCAACGTGGATCATGTTGAAGCCATTCGCGGATATATCCTATCGCGCAATGATCGTCATCCAGAAAAAGAAGAAGCTTAGAATTAGAGGCCCAAGACGCAAGACTAATTGTATCCTGCGTTGTAATAAGCGTATATCTCTCCCCATTGATCGCGAGAACCCGACACGGAATCCGCTGAATATCCTCCCGGGTAAGAACAAAGACATCAAGTCTGCTTTCGAGGTCTAGCATTATTTTCGCTCATTCTGTCATGATCACCAGCCGACGCGATTGCATCTTGTAGGATGTTAAATTGTGCTCGTTGTTTTGGCCTCATTTACATCCTCGAATTCTAAAGCCACACTTCGAGGCCAAGCCAGGCGGGATATTAGGTATCCCCATGGACGAATGAAAGGGCCAAGTTTCCGTCCCGACCCGTGGCAGTCTGTTGTCCGTGCGCTGTGTCACTGGCTGGGACTCCGCGGCTTCGGCGTTTCCATTCCGGGACGCGTGGACTCTGCACAGATGCCGCAAAGCAGTGACAAGAGGCACTAACCTTACAGCATCTATGCCTCTTAAGCTTCTAAGACGGTTATGAAATTCTGACATATCTTCACATAAACATAAGATAGAGCGTAGTCAAAATGACTGTGGCCGCGGCAAGTTGAGTTCAGTATTGGAGAAAATTGGGGGCATTTGTGCATGAGAGCGGCATGACATTTCGCAGCGCAATAAACATGCTACGAATTGGAAGTCCCTTGACTGAGAAATTAGATAAGAGATCTCCAATGGGCACAAGAAATAAATGGATAAGATCTCCCAGCAACTAGTATAGTAGAGTATATCAGCTATAAGAAGGCATTGCTCAAGTCTACGATCGTCATTGAACTGGCAAATAACAATGCATTGTTAGACAAACCAATCGCAACATTGTGGATCAAATAGTCCCAATCCAGAGTTTTATGTATTACAAAGATGGGCACCCATGAATCAGGATCGCATTAATCACTCTGCAGCGTGACACAATTCATCCGACCAGTGGCCGTTTTAGTGCGCCGCCTCAACTCAAAGCTCTGGGCGCGCGCTGGAATGCCCCCGGGCTGATCCCCGCCTGTTCCCCGAGTGCACTAAATCGATAGTCTCGCCTGGGGCTTGTTGTGGCTGTTTAGGCCAAGGGTCTGTGTGTTCTGGAGGCGGCAGGAATGGTTTTTTCCATGGCGGCCGCCAGATCTACAAACCTAAGCCCTACCTATACAAATCCGTTCGTCTCCTGACAGTAGCCACAGAGTAGTAGCTTTGCAAGCGAGTCTGCTCTACGCCATGAGAGATAGAGTTTCTACTGTTATCATAAACCCGGCTCCTAAATCCGAGTTTTCCTAAAGCCGTTCTCGACCCGGTCGATAGGCCGAGACCCCTGGATTTGATATAGGTACATCATCTCTTCTGCCGCGCTAGGCTGTCCCAAAGGCCTGGACGGAACTGACGGCATGCATGAAGATCTGGATGCCCTGATTTTGTGTTACCCAGTGTTACAGAGGCTGTTTCTCCAATTGTTCAAACTCGGCGTGTTTTATCAGGACGCTGCTCCATCGCATTCTGCATAACCTTTATCGCAGAGATAAGCCAGCTTAGATACACTATCTTTTAGTGCGCCTGCTCCCGGACCTAGGTCAGCGCTAAGTTCGCTAACCACTAAGTGAGGCTAACATCCCGCTGTTGCTTTTTCCAGCGCCTGTCTGTGCGTTTACGGTTTGAGCAAGGGTTGAAATTATATCACAGAGTGGGATAAACCAAGTAACTTTTCTTCGCTGCAGACGGGACGAGTACCCCGAGTAGATCCTTGTCCCCGTCAGCACTACCCCATACCTGACTAATGCACTAAGCAATAGGAAGCAAACGCACAAGTGCCGGGTTTCAAGCCCTCCCCTCAAGCATTGGTTGCCTCTGCGGAATGTATGGGCCTCATCCCCCCCTATCGGATTTATGCTTTCATGCCACCTGCAAGCCCATGACTCTCTCAAAGTTTAAAATCTCTAGGAGGACTAACGCCTCCGTTTATGAAACGCCCGATGCGACCCCCCTTGTGCCTCGACGCTTCGAGTATTAAGATCTGTCGATCTGTATCCCCTGGCCCCGTCCGTTAAGTCTGCCATGTATCCATTCTTCTTGATTTTTGATCTCCTTTCCATTTTTTGTTGCGCTGTTGCGATAAGCGAAAAATGACTGTCGAGGCCCTTCTTGAGCAGTATCAGGGCCATATTGTGCCAAAGGCGTACAATGCGGGCTACCTCTCGCTCAGCTACCTCATCAGCTTGGTGGGGGCGGCTTCGACGCTCGAATTGATCAATCGGCGATCATGGTTCAACGGAATCTCGAATCAGTATGCTACCTACGATTGATACCTTTCGCCAAGGAAAAGACACTGCCAAGATGGTTTGCTAATACAGATGCATTAGTCTGATACTATGTTCATCCGCAATCACCATGGGCGGTATAGCCATTTGGTGCATGGTAAGTTTCAGCTTACTTCGCTGCGTACACTATTAATTAATATCGCTTGTGGTGCAGCACTTTATTGGCAACATCGCACTCACTCTTGCTGAAGGCGAGGCAGAGATGCAGATTGTATACTCCAGTGGCATGACAGTACTCTCCTTCTGCATGCCTGTTCTTGTCCTCCTCGGCGCATTCTACGCGATAGGCATCTCGAATCGAATCGCCTGGTGGAGAGTAATAACAGCTGGTATCCTTTGCGGCTGTGCCATCTGCGGTATGCACTACTTGGCCAACGCTTCCATCAAAAACTATCAGTGTATCTACGAGCCTGCGTATATCGTGGGTGCTGCTATCATTGCCGTCGCTGCGAGTACTGTGGCGCTGGGCATGTTCTTTATCTTCCAGTCGCTCTCGGCGAGCAGTTGGTGGAAGCGAACTATTTCTGCCATCATCCTCGCTGGGGCAGTATCCAGTATGCACTGGTGTGCCTCTGTGGGCACTCAGTACAGACTGCTTCACCTGAAGAAATTGGAACGGGGATCGCGCACCGCTACCGCGATAGCAGTTATTTGTTTAGTAGGTCTCAGCCGCCTTCCCATCGGCGCAGCACTAGACGCCATATGGTCTAGGTCCACTTACTGACCTCTAATAGTCTTTCAGTGCCTGTATTATCATTGCTGGATCAGCTATCCTCCGAGCCCGCACTCTAAGAGATGCAGCCCTTCGTGCTCAACAGATTGAGCTAGCAGCTGTTGTCTTCAATAAAGACGGATGTCTTCTCGTCGACAGCAACGGAGTCTTCCCAAACACTGTTGTCACCGATTTCTTCATTGGAGAGGTGAGATGATTATGCCCTTTCAAGGTTTCATATCTTAGGTCTACCAGCTACTAACCCCTAAATCTTGCTTTTATAGAACGCCGACGACAAGTTCAACACTGCCCATCCACAGTTCCTCTGGATGTTCCAGGCCTCGCGAAACTGGACTGGAATCTCGGGATTAATAAACGGCATGAAGCAACACCTACGACAGCTACCGCACAAAAGTCAGCATAAAGATCCGACAAAGGGGATTCAACTCATCAATGCCGACGGAGAGCTCATCGATGGATACTCAGTCATCTTCAGAGAGTTGTTCTGCGTCGCCGCCTCCAAGCTCAGCGATCGTCTCGACGAATCCATCACAACGATGGGTATTCTATGGGATGAGATCATTCCCAAGCGATCAGTGGCAAACCCTGCATACCTACAAGCACTGGAGAAGCATCGCGATAATCAAACTTCCGACGCGAGCGAGATACTACGCAAGGGATCGACGACGACAGGAGAAAGCCACCTCGAGAAGGGGGTTGGGATTGAGCTTGAGAACGAGATTGACGAACGAGGAGCACTCATGTTTTTGGTCCGTCGCCTCACATCAGATGACGAAGTAAAGAGACTCGAGACCGCTGGATATCGATTTGTCAACCCTGTTCAAGTATGCAACGATGCGAGGAACCATTTGCAGATGCAGATCCCGTCGAGCGAGTTCGAACTCAAGCTGCGCGACATGAAGGCCTTTATATCCCAGCAAGGCCGTATCAAGCCCGGAGTTCACCTTGGCCTTTTCTCGCTTCAGGATCGGGGGCTTAATAATCATCACGTCCTGGTACAAAAGGATGCTCGCGATTTGCTTCCATTAGTACCTCTGCCACTAAGCACTATCGACGACACGCAAGTCAGAATGGTACAAGGCTTGAGTGGGTTTCGGGTACCTGAGGTCATTCAAAGATTGAGGACCTCGGGGGCGTCTTCGAGATCTCCAGATGAAGAATTGTTTGCTCATTATCTATCCAATGCCATTCACTCCCTACATGAATGGGTCCAGGAACCTCTATTTCATGACGCTGTGCTCAGCCCTACTATACTACGACTTCCCTATGGGATAGACGG